TCGATTTTTTCTTGTTAAAATAAGTCCACAGTATAGCATCAACCTTGAACTTTTAATAAAGCACGCATTTGGATTGGTTAAATTTGTGAAAAATATATGTGTGATCGGTTATTCTTTTATGAATCTCGATTTTTGCGAGCAATGTGTGCCCTGTAAATATGCAATTTTTAAATCGGGTGTCACCCCTAAAATGGTGTCACCCGGTGCGGTCCGCACCCCCCGCACCTGCCTCGCTACGCCACTGGTTGTGGGTCTTGGGTCTCTCTCAGAAAGTATCTTGTTATTGTTCATCTGGTTTCAACATGTATGTTTCTTAACAAACACTCTATAATTTTAGGTTAAATAGCATACAAAACAGTGAGTCTCTTTGTTTTAGGCTTCTCTAGTCTGAAATTCCCTTGAATATTTTCCATGAAACTTGATTTTTGCCTTTTGAGTTGTTAAATAGTTACATGTATCAGTATTGTTAGTTTCTTGGGTAAGGCTCTTCAGTGAACAAACATAAGTAAAACCAATATACAATAAACACTTAGCTACAATGTACTATCCGAGAGGGCAGCAAGAAGAATATGATAAATTAATAGCTCATATACATTCCTAAACTGAGCTTAGTTCAACCAACAAGTTTAACGCACACTGCAACAGTTGATATATCATGTCACCGGGTGACACCCTCACAGGATGGAAAGAGGGGGGGGGGTTGTCAATGAAACGGAAAATGTCATTTTAACAAAGCTTGCTCAACTCAACTTCAGGACTCATTGTAGATAAAAGAACACATACGAATTTTTCACAAGGTACCATCAGAACAAGGCAGAGTTCCATTATCATCATTATCCCGATCCAACACCCTTTGGGTAAATGACCTTCAGAAGCCCCTTAATGAAAAACTTGCAAATTCTGCAAGTGTACTTTGCATGTTTACATGGTGTTAATGTAGTTTGATATCGTTGAAGGCAAATTCGACGTAGTGCTGGGCGGGGAAGGGATAATGTGTTACTGTATAATGTGTATGTCTACAGAGGGGGCACGTCTGTTTTATGCAGATTAGCGGAAAATTAAAGTGTTTCCTATACTCAGGAGGAATATTATAACCTTTCATGTCTAACGAGGCAGTTAATTGATCTTTTGGGATATGGGTTGGGCATGTATGTAAACACAGTCTTCATGTGAGCTATGAGCCCTTAGCCCAGGGATCTCAAACTCAAATCATCCGGGGATCACAGGAGGTAGAGTCTGAGTGAGACTGGGCCGCACCCAGCAAAAAAAAAAAAAAATTACAAATTCAATCTGTTACAATCTGCTCAACCTCATTAATAACATAATAAAACATTAAGGGTTCTCAAGAAATAGACAATTTAACTTTCTTCCTCCTACTGCTCGTTGCCAGAGACCTGGCAGCGCTTCTTCTTACACAGCTGAGCAATATTTGGCTTGAGTCAAAAAGCAACTGAGACCCTCAGTATAGCTTGAAGATGCTCATCAGTAAGTTTGTCCCTGAACTTTGACGTGTTTAAGTTCATAGTGGGAAAAGAGCTTTTCACACTGATAGGTACTCCCAAAAAAGGCACATGATCCGATTGAGCAACCTGGAAATCTCAGTAAAGGTGGAGGGCAATGCTCTCATAAATTGACTATGCTTGTCTGTTTCTCCATTCAGTCCCTGAACTTAGAAATGCACTGAAGATCAATCAGCTCCATTGGAAGCGAAAAAAAAAAAGGGGGGGGGGTGGCGCATCTTCCACACTAAAGAAAAAAGGATAAGCAAAAAGGAGAAAAGTGTATCTGTGCGTTTTTAAGTCAAAATACATGTCATCAAATTATTCCTGTAGATGTGCAAAGACATCAGTATAGTCACTAATGAATGGTGTGCCCGAATCCATGAGTACCTTTCATGTTGGGAAATGGCAGAGGTTTCCTTAAGAACCATAACACAAGTTTTGGACACAATGTCCTAACATTGTCATAGGCAACACTGAAAAGTTGCCCCTGGTCTTGTTACTTCTTGTTGAGTCTATTCAGCTCCTGTGTAAGGTCAAGAAGAAAAGCCAAGTCCATGAGCCATTTGGGATCACTTAGTACAGGAAAAACCACCCTGTGACGATCTATGAGGCGGGACTTTGTAAATTTCTTCCATCGTAAATCCGCCCTTGAAAACCCTTGCCAACAATACCATTTCCCCCCTCGTTTTTGCCCTGGAGACAGCAAAGTGGAGTATCGTTCCTTGTTGTTATTGAATTTCTAAACCAGAAAACTCACACAAAAGCGTGAATTTGAATTTTCACCTCAGCCCGATAAACTGGGTAGAAGGTCAAACCCGCAATATCAAAAGTGATTATCATTGGATGGGAAAACATACAACATTCAAATCACCCAATTGAATCATCACCCAACTCGAATAAATAGCCAGAACAAGCAAGATTATGTCTTTTATGATCTGATCTCTTGACCGTGGACGCTGGAAGGATCTAGACTTAGAACTTCTTTAGCGTGATACATAACTGCAACCTAGGATATTAGCAAGTATATGACTTTTAAGATCTGATCACTTGATTGTGGACGCTTGAAGTATCTAGACATAGAACTTTATTAGCGTGATCATTAACTGCGACTGCTACCTAGAGTACTAGCTGGTTTCTATTACTGGACCGACGCACCTTGAAGCTGGAATTAAGGGATTGATTTACGTCCTACACCAAACTACCTGACAGCTACTAGGACTTCGAGATCCAGGGACTCTCACTACCACGATTTATCGCTGGAGAGTCATCTTCCCCATCGCAGAGATCCCACGGAATCTACGACCGGGAACTCCGACTTCGCTACGCTCAGAACAGCTCCGAAGACCGGAACAGGGACACGCTTCTAGAACAGAAGGAGCTCCCACACTGTGTGATCTACTGAGATCATCACTAGAATCATAAAGGCTAAGTCAACAAAGATTGAGCATAGAACTTGAGCAATTTAGCGTCTATAATGATGATACCGTTAGTATGTTAGGATACCGTTAGTATGTTAGTGACACTTGCTTTGCATTGATATACCTTTCTATTTGGATGACTTCCATTTGATGTATAAATGAGGAGTCCAATTGCAAACCCTGCTAAGTCACTTTAGATTGATTTTGAGAAAAACACATTTTTCTAAAACACAATGATGCGCTAATCCTAGGATTCTGGTTTTTGTTCCAGTTATAAGATTAGCTCTAAATGATATATTTTTTAACATAAAATATAGTTAAATGGGCATTTTTGCATTGATAATGCATTATAAAGTTATTACTTAGCAGGTTTTGAAAATGGTTTACATACTTAGCAGGTTTTGAAAGAATTTAAAAATATACTTAGCAGATTTTGAAAGAGGTTTAAAATACTTATGAGGATTTGAAAATGGTCAAAATCACTTAGGAAGTTTGACAGCTCACAACAAATTTAAAAGATATAGAGGGGGGTGCTCTTTTACATTTTCTTTAAAATGTACTGCATGATTTTAATGAACCTTAGTCTTATATACCTTATCCAAACAATCACGTAACACTAGTAATAGACCACAACACAAA